TTCCTTCTTCATGGCCTACTGCTGACCGCTGTACTACCCGCATATAATCCTGAGATTATGTACCGTTGCATTCCTGGCGTCATCTCTCTTTGTTGTCGGGTTGCACTGCTCGCTATACTCTGGTGTCGGCCGAAGGACGAGAGATGCTTTACTCTTAAAATGATGTCAAAGATGATTGCCATGCATGTGGGCTTCACTGGTCCTGTGGTGGTTATGACTAAAATTACAGCCTCAAGCAATGATTGGCCATATCTCACGGTAGCTCTCTTCATCATGTTCGCGCACATCGCAATGCTTGGGTTCGCATGCTTCTTGGCTTTGAAGTGATTGGCCATGCGTACGCCATAAACCCTAAACCCCAAACCCTAAATCCTAAACCCTAAATTCCTGAACCCTAAACCCTGAACCCTACATCCTAAACCCTAAACTCCGTGCTGAAACCCTCAACCCAAAACCTCGGAGTCCGAGTTGCGACAGCCTAATATCCCTGCAAAATAGCTTGCAAAATCATCCGCGTTGTGAGTCCGAGGTTTCAGAAAATGCGGGGGGGTACCTTATTTACGTGCTCCTATAAAATTCAGGATTCGTGTACCTACAGTTCCATATGAAGATCGCCTTGTTTTTGGAAACCCTAAACCCTAAATCCCTAAACCGTAAACCCCTAAATCCCTAAACCCTAAACCCATATGATAGTGAAGGTCTGGGAATGCGACGAATGGCGACACGTCTACCTGCTGGGCCCTGCATTCTGCAACTTTTTCTTGGTCGCGGCTGTTGCGGTGCCGCTAGCACCCAGGTCGCATGGAAGTAGCTCTACACTAAGGTTACCTCGTGTTTCTGCCAAATGGAGCCCCCACCATCGCAGAAGAAAGTCATGCGCAATATTCTGAGGGAAGATGCTTGGGTCCAGAAGAAGCTTCACTTGATACTTGACCTAAGAGCCCAGAAGGGAAAGAAGGACACTCCACCACACTAAACCCAATTGTGTGTGGTCGGGCTCTTTGGGATCAGGTGCAGTGCCTGGCACTTCACCCTGCGTGCCGGCCGTGGAGATGGAAAGTGACACCGACCCATCAGATTCTAATGACTCGTCGGATGAGGCAACAAACTGAGGTTGCTCCAAAAACGGCGAGTGACCTGGGCCTTTGGTTCAGGCTTGGGAATGGGTCTTGTGCCAGACACGCAGTGATTGACGTTTGCTGAAGATGATGCCCGCTCTCTCTGGGCAGTCCCTCCTCGGCATACAAGTTCTTGCCTATCGGCACATGCTCATACAACTGTGTACACGAGCACGCCGGGTTGTGCGCTTTTTTTGTCATTGCCATGCCATGGTCATTTTTAGTGTCAGTGCTACCATCGTTATGACAACAATAGCAATTTCGATTAGTATCACTGTTTTTGCCTAGTAGTGGTAGTAGCCGTAGTCGTAGTAGTAGTAGTAGTAGTAGTAGTCGTCGTCGTCGTCGTCGTAGTAGTCGTAGTAGTAGCAGTAGATAGTAGTTATAGTAGATAGTAGTTATAGTACATAGTAGTAGTTATAGTAGATAGTAGTGGTAGTAGTAGCAGTAGTAGTAGTAGTAGTAGTAGTAGTAGTTGTAGTAGTAGTAGTAGTAGTAGTGGTCGTATTAGTAGTAGCAGTAGCAGTAGGAGTAGGAGTAGTAGTGGTCGTCGTAGGAGTAGTAGTAGTAGCAGTAGTAGTAGTAGTAGAAGTAGTAGTAGTAGTAGTAGTAGTAGTAGTAGCAGCAGCAGAAGTAGTAGCCGTCGTCTTAGTAGTTGCCTCGGTAGTGGTAGCAGTGGTTGTGGCAGTTGCAGTTGGAGTAGCAGTGGCAGTAGCAACAGCAGTAGTAGCAGTAGTATGTATGTATGTATGTTTGTTTGTTTGTTTGTGTACATACCTTGTTCTTCGTCCTTGCTTACCTCTGACTTTGTGTTTATGGCAATGCTAGGGATTGTTTTGACTACTATGGCGATGGATTTAACTATTAAAAATTAGTATCAGTGTTCTTTTCTCATTGTTGACCTATTGTCCACATTATCGTTGTTGCAACTGTTCTTATATTGCTACTGCTAGTGCTGCTATGGCTTTAACAATGGTCATTCACGCTGCTGTTATCAACAGTGGAGTTATTATTCGTGGTACTGCCACTGTTGTTGTTATTCGTGATCTTCTTCGTCGGGGTAGTATTCATATAGCTCTTCTTCTTCGGATAAATCTGGTTAATGCTACAAGTAGGATGATGATTATGATCATGAGTATGATTGATATTGGTACTACTAATACTCGTGTTGTAGCAGTTGAACTTGCATTCTCATTCTTGAACGCTCAGTAATTCGTTAGTAACATGTCTGCGTTTGTGTTTTTACTGTTATCTTACATGTTTGCGATTGTTGTCATTGTTTACGGGTTTAGGGTTTTAGCAGAAAGGGTTATGGGGTTGAAGTGGTGAATCGTGGAATCCGTCCAACTGGCGGCCTCCCAAAACCCGCCTCAGCCAAATTGGCGTTCTGACGCCCTGGAACCAGGCGGAAGGAAAAGAGGCTTCAACAAAAAAACCTACCCTAATCCCTGGGCCCAGCTCCACGGCACAAACCCTAAACCCTAAAACCCTAAACCCTAAACCCTAAACCCCCAAACCCTAAACCCAACCCTTCAGATTCGCACAAAAGCTTTGGACCCTCCACGGCTCGATGCCCGAAACAGCAGCACACGCTATAAAGTTCGGGATAACCATCGAATGTCGTTAGAGTACTCCGTAATAGTCCCCGCATGAATGCACTTTAATCTGCCCCGAAACGCTATTCTAGTCATTGCAAGGCCCCCCTTTGCGACAAGAACGCACAAACAGAATCCTAAACCCTGCACCTAAAGCCTAAACCCTAAACCCTAAACCTAAACCCTTAACCCGATGAACGCCGCCGCTTTGTGGGCCAAGCTCAAACCTCCTGCCTCGCTCCTTGCCGGCTCCCATGGCGCGGGTCCGCGTGGGTGCCGTCCTGGTCCCTGGAATGCTCGGATTTCAGGTTTAGGGTTTAGGGGTTTAGGGTTTAGGGGTTTAGGGCGTAAGGTTTAGGGTTTAGGAAACCCTAAACCCTAGACTTCTAAACCGCGGGTTTCCGCCTTGAGGAGTACGGGTTGGGGCGGTGTCGGAAGTTATGGCGAGAGGCTAGAAATCGCAGGCATGCTGGGCACGTCGACTTGAGAGGACGGGCGTGAATGTTCGAGGTTGAGGGTTTGAGATTCAGGGCCCTTAGGCATTTCTGCTATGATTGTCGCTCTGGCAAGCTCTTCACAAAACTATTCCCTATGAAGCCTTAGAATAGCTCAACCTGCAGCAGCTGCAACCGCCCCCGCCACCACCGCCACAGCCGCAGCCCAAAGCAACATCATCAACATCAAACAACAACATCGACAGCGCCACGACGGCAAGCACTATAATGAACGTTATAGCTTTGGCTTCCAATGCTTTAGTGTCCTCCATTTTCACTGGTGTGAAGTGTGAAAGGCCGGCTTTCAGGATCAATGCCCAGTCTGTCGATTGGATCGCGTTTCGGGGACATATTCAGGGTCGCAGCTGTGAGTCTTGGCAGACTTAGTATAGTCTTTGCATTCGGATCGTCCGCCACTGCTGATACGGCCGCAACGACAGGCACGACGGCTACTTCCATTGCCACCATACCGCCAATGCCACGACCACTGCTACTGCTGTGGCCACTGCTACTGTTTTTTGCTACTGCTTGCTGCAGCTGCTCAGCAGCTACTGCTGCCAAGTACCGTTCACCGCCATCAGCACCACTACCACCACCGCGACGACGACCGCAACTACCACCACCACCACCACCACTACTACGACTACTATTTCTACCCCTAAATCCTGAACACTGAGATACTAATAAAGCCCTAAACCCTAAACTAAACCCTAGTATCACACCGACACGACTCTTTGGAACCTCGCTTGGCTTGTCCGAGATGTGAGAGGGTAAACCCTTAACCCCAAGCCCCTAAACCCCTAAACCCCTCAACCCTAACTCCCTAAACCCCTAAACACTGAACCCCTAAACCCTAAACCCCTAAACCTCTAAACCCTAAACCCCTAAACCCCTCAACCCTAAACACCCTAAACCCTAAACCCATAAACCACCAAACCCCGGAACCCCTCAACCCTAACTCCCTAAACCCCTAAAACCCCTCAACCCTAAACTCCTAAATCACTAAACCCCTAAACCCTTAAACCCTAAACCCCTAAACTCCCTAAACCCCCTAAACCCCTAAGCCCCTAAACCCTTCACTGAGCTCCCTAAACCCCTCAACCCCTAAACCCCTCAACCCTAAACCCTTAAACCCCTCAACCCCAAACCCCTCAACCCTAAACCCCTAAACCGTAAACTCCTTCAGTATTAAGCCGTACGTCCCTAAACCCAAACTCCCTAAACCCCTAAACCCCTCAACCCTAAACCCCTCAACCGTAACCTCCCAAACCCCTAAACCCCTAAACTCCCTAAACCCCTAACTCCCTCACTCCCTAAACCGCATTAAGCCCTAAACCCCTAAACCCCCCAAACCCCTAAACCCCTAAACCCCCAATCCCCCTTAACTCCCTAAGCCCTAAACCCCTAAACCCTCTAACTCTCTAAACCCTAAACCCCTCAACCCCCCAAACCCCTAAACCCCTAAACCCCCAATCCCCCTTAACTCCCTAAACCCTAAACCCCTAAACCTTCTTACTCTCTAAACCCTAAACCCCTCAACCCCCCAAACCCCTAAGTTAAAACTCTCCCGCAACCCTAAACCCTAAACCCCTCAATCCTAAACCCCTGAACCCCTAAACTCCCAAACCCTGACCACTCAACCCCCCAATCCCCTAAGTTAAAACCCCTAAACCCCTAAAAACCCTAACTCCCTTAACCCCTAATCCCCTAAATCCCCTGAACCCCTCAACCCCCCAATCCCCTAAAATCCCTAACTCCCTTAACCCCCTAAACCCCGAAGTTCAAACTCTGAGGCTCTGGGTCTCGTCGGACTCTGCAGCCTCGGAGCTCTCGAAAGCTTCGTCACGTCGAGAGAGGCGGAGGTCCTCTGCCCTTAAGGGGCCTTTTAAAGAGGGTTTAGGGTTTAGGGTTTATAGGGTTCTATAAAGGGTTTCTATACAAGGGTTATAGTAGGGGTTCTTTTAAAGGGCTCCTTCAAACGGTTCCATAAAGGGTTTCTATAACGGGTTTAGGGCTTAGGGGTTTAGGGTTTAGGGCTCAGGGCTTCAGGGGTTCCTTTAAAGGGTTCTATAAGGGCTACTATAAGGGTTGTAGGGCTTTAGGCGTCAGGGCTTTAGAGGGTTCCTTTTGAAGGGTTCTATGAGGGCTACTACAAGGGTTTAAGGGTTAGGGATTTAGGGTTTAGGGCTTTTGGGGTTTAAGGTTTAGGGGTTGAGGGGTTTTCGGTTGAAGGGTTTAGGGGTTTAGGGTTTGGGGTTTTAGTGTTTAGGGGTTAGGGCGTCAGGGTTCAGGGTTTAGGGTGTAAAGGTTAGGGGTTAGGGCTTTCGGGGTTAGGGCTGTAGGGTTTAGGGTTTAGTGGTAAGGGTTAGGGTTTAGGGGTTTAGGGTTTAGGGGTTCAGAGGTTTACGGTTTACGGGTTTTGGGGCTTCTAACACGCTTTTGTTTTAAACATCGAGGTCTGTCTCCAGACCAGTATGAGGTTCGTTTAGGGGCAGGGTTTAGGATTTAGGGTCTTAGGGTTTAGTGATGGTGGTGTAATTGGTGTTTAGGCTTAGGACTTAGCTGCTCTTGTTTGGGGGCTCTTGGGAGGGTCATAGGATCCTTCAAGTCAGGATTCTCGTTTAAAGACCCCATGACAAGCGAAGTATGGGGGTAGAATTCTGTCGGGGTTTGGAGGCCTTAGGGGTTTGTTGGGTTTTATAGGGTGATACCGGAGTTTATCCCATTCGGGATCGAGGGTTAGGGTTGCGTGTGTAGGGTCGAGGCGGCCATAGTGCTCTTGTGCCTTCTGTTCTATATCAGGGGGGGAAAACTTCAGGATTGAGTCAGCCTGTTTTCAGATGTTTGCAGGATTCGTTTTGGTAAAGGTGACATAAGGGACGTGTGAGACTGCGGCTTCCACAGGATTTAACAGAACCCTACAGTGCACCATGGGTTTCATAGAGCTTAATGGGGTGTTTAGGGGCTCAGTCTAAAAAAGAAGTGTGAGGCCGACCACAAGACCTTAATGTGTATGTTTTCCCTAAAAGATCAGTCAGGTTCAGCGTGCAGCTGGCAGAGGACTGCTTCGGTTCAGGGATGTAAGGGTTGTGACGTTTTGCGATTGAATGATCGGCTCGTGCGAAGTCCAAGTTTGTAGCTGGCTTTGGCGTGGTGGTCTTCTAGCTCAAGGACTTTCGTATTTCATCGAGGGCAACAGAGTAGATATATGCTGTAATTTTTCTGGTATCATAAGCCCTAAACAACCTCATAGAATAAACTCTGCATCCTAAACCTCTAAGCTAAGATCTAGCGCAGTACATGTTTTGGACAGAACTAAGATCTAGCGCAGTACATGTTTTGGACAGCTTGTTCTATGGATGAAAGTAAATAATAAGGAGAAACAACGTAGCCAACAACAGGTACTACATTCCAGGGTCTAGGTATATGATAAGCATAAGTTTCTAAGGCCCAAGAACTTTAAACTGCGGGCCCTGAGCTCGCGTTTGGCGTGTCGGGTTCACCGCTAGTAGCTCAAAAAAGCCTACTTATTCGATGCATCATATACGGTAAACCCTAAAACCTAAACCCCTAAACTCCTAAACCCCTAAACCCCTAAACCTTAAAACCTAAACCACCAGTAGGCACAGCAAACCTGTTGCTTTTTCGATTACAGGTCGGCAGACATAGCTTCAAACAAAGTGGGGCGGTCCGGAGATGAGGGTTTAGGGAGTTTAGTGGTTTATGGGTTTAGGGGTTGAGGGGTTTAGGGGTTAAGGGGTTAGGGGTTTAGGGTTTAGGGTTTAGGGTCTAGGGGTTCAGGGTTTAGGGCTTACGGGATGAGTGCTCGGTGTCCGAGAGCTCCCAAGCAGAGTTCCAGCCCGAAGGCTGCAGTGTTAGCGAGTCTGATATAGGGGCCTTATACTATAATTATACTAAGGAGCCCTATTGTAATTATTAAGGCCCCTACAATATATCCGGCGACTTAGGAAGGCTTTCTAAGGTGACAGACTGACACATCAGACCGAATGCATTCATTATAACTCGTCACACCAAGGAGTCTTCAGAGCGGGTCAACCGGTCAAAGCCAAAGCCTGGGGTACTAGGCATTGTAAGCTTTCCGGCGTCTAACCGCGCAGCCCCTCGGTCCTGAAGCTTCGTGACGTCAGCGCATAGACTCGAGACTAAGCCCTAAACCCTAGACCCAAAACCGTAACTTAAAGCCCTATTAGGGCTTGTAAGACTTGCGTAGTATGATCCTTAGGGCCACAGGGCCGAGCTCCTTTCCAAGCCTCAACCTACTAAGCTCAAGACTCAAGGCAACATGATGCCCAAAGCGACACCTCGCGCTTTAGCCTTAAACACCGAGATCCAATGCATTCTTTGATTTTTGACAACCCCTCAGGTAATGTTAGGTTAAATCTAGCTGGATATATTGTTTCTCTATCTCTTTCTATCTCTGTGTCCATATCTCTCTTCATCCAGCTACCTGCCTACCTGCCTACCTGCCCAGCCTACCCAGCTAGCTGTTTGTTTGTCAGTCAGTCAGTCAGTCAGTCAGTCAGTCTGTCTGTCTGTCTGTCTGTCTGTCTGTCTGTCTGTCTGTCAATCAATCAACTAAACAATCAGCCACTCAATCATTTCATCTACCAATCATTCCATCGATCGATCAACCATCCAACCATCCAACCAACCAACAACCAACCAACCATCCAACCAACCAACCAACCAGCCAACCAGCCAACCAATCGATCAATGGATCAATGGATCAGTCGATCAGTCGACCAACCAGCCAACCAACTAACCAACCAACTAACCAACCAATCAATCAATCGGACAATCAACTCATCTAGCTTTCTGTCTGTCTACCTATCTGTTTATCTATCTATCTATCTATCCATCTATCTACCTACCTATCGATCTACCTATCTATC